ACTCAGACTTAAGACTCACTACCCCGTTCATTTCCCCCGCATCATATCCACTGGTTGCCCACAAGTGCTCTGAGATGTCACACAGTTCTGGAGAGTCTGGGGTCAACTGGCATAGTTCCACCAGATAAATTTTTGTTAGCAGCTGCACAGTTCACACAACACTAATGTTTACTGTCAGATGCTTCCTAAACACCTCATTGCAATGTTTCATCCCTGGAATGTGAGTTTCTTCCTCAGGTCTGTACTGTTGCACTAATCATAAACCCAATCATTTTATTTAGCATTTAAAATAAAAATATGTGAGATGATGTCATGTATTTCACTTGACAAAGCAAGTTTGTTCCCATATAATCAGGTGTGTGTGTATGTCTATGTGCAAGCTTCACATACATCAGAAACCGGAAACTCAGTCTGTTAGTGTCCACTCATTTGCAACATTCTGCTCACTTGTGTTATAATTAAATGATCGTTCCCTGATCTAATAACAATCAACTAATTTACATATCAATTCATAACCCACTAAGTTTACAGGACAAGATGATAACAGCTGGTTTGCAATCTTTAATCAGTCCCACATCGTATTTAGACTTGGCCCACAGGCCGTCAGGCACCTCTGATCAACAGTGGGATCAAACAGTTCAAATGAGCAAACAGTGAACAGTATAACAATAGACAGCATAACTGTTTTATAAGCAATCATTTTTTAGGGTGAACAACACTTTTGGGTCCTCCCTGACTTGCCAATCACAAGCTCTTTTACAATTGTGCACAAATCTGCCCAGGTCTTCCCACCTGTAGTCAGCAGACCTAGCAAGGAAGATGTGTGGGGTGGATGCATCCATTATAAATAACCTTTTGTTCTTTAGTGAGGGAAATCGCAAGTGCAGCAAATGTAAAGCTCTAAAATAAGCATTTCATTGTTAGTTTATCATGTTCAACTCTTTACCACTCCTCCTCATGTCTCTCATCAGGGCTCTGCGAAGCACAGTGAAAAGTGCAGTGCAGGCCATCAGCGGCCAAAAATGGCATCTGGAGGCATGCAGTCACGTGCTTTTTGTAAAAAAAAAAAACCCCAAAAAAAAAACTTTCAGTGAGCAGCCCTGCCCCCAGCTTCCATTCATACACGAAGGCAGGGGTCACAGGGCTGTATTTCACCATTGCATGGTCACATTCTGACTGTGTGATTGTAATGCCATCATGGCAGGAGATCAAATTTATGTTTAATTTACACATTAAGTAAATTTACTGGACATGAGTCTGACAAAACTTTTAACTTTTGGCCCTGTCCGTCAATTCAGGACAGGGGAATGGTGAAATTATCTCTTTGAACATGGCCTGTTGCAGAGACAGTGTGGGTGTACCTTCTAATGTTGGCTGGAATTTCAGGGTGAGAGTGTAACACAGAGTGGCTCCGTAGTCTACAAGAAATTCCACCTTCTCACCACACACAGACATTGTATACATAGGCAGAGATTTATAGGCTTTGTTTGTTAAATGCACATATTTGCCCTTTGGATGGCATGAAATGTGTTCTAAGTGGCTTCTTGCAGCAGTCTCTGTGTTTGTGTATGTGTGTGTGTGGAGCACTTTTTTTCCGTAGCACTTGTTAGCGAAGCTTTCTTCATTGCGTCAGCATGTGTGTGCGTCTGTGTTTGTGTGTGGCTCTTGTATCACTCCTCACTGTATCAGTGTGTGTATATATGTAGGTTTGTGTTTTTGCGTCACTTCCCTGTTCTGGCGTCTTGGGAAAACCACGGCCTGAAGCGTCCCCTGGGGTCCTGCCCTGCTCCTCTTAGTCTGCTTGCAGCCACCACTGCTGCTGGTTCTGGTTCTGGTTCTCCCTCTCTCCTCCTTTTTCACATTTTTTTCTTCCACTTTTTTTTCCTTCCAAAACTGCTTTCTCTTCTCTCCACCCATACTTTCAAACACCTCTCTTTCATCATTCATTCAATCCACATCAACTGACTTTCTTTTCAACATTTCTTTTTCTTTCTCACAACATATTTCATGCTTTCTTTCTACATTTTTTACCATTGAGTCAAAGACTGAGTTCTCACTTTGGTCACCCGGTTGAGCGTGCGTGACAGTCCACGCCCCAGCCCTTAATTCGGCCGTGCTGACTGTCATCCCATGTTATTCGGTAAGTGTCCTTAGCAAAGCCTTTTGCCTTCTACAGACCAAACATGCTAAAATACTGCCGCCTAACGCCAGTCCCCCGGCGCCTAGGGTTTTTTTCTGCAGACTCTAAGCTACTCGGCCAACCTCCCATGAGCCACTGCCCCAGGGGCCATTAGATCCTGTGTGTAGCTGAGACCTCAGGAAATTGCTCTGTACTTAAGCCCAGAACTTCTCCGTGAAATATCACGGAGGTGCGCCATGACTCACCCACCCTTTGGCCTGACCAAACAGAGAACCCAAGTGACTTATACATCCATATATGACATAGGTTGGACACAGCTCACCAGTGCAGATTCTCCCCTAGTTCTTTTGGATGATCTCGGTGTGTTGCTGAGGACTCGCCTCACAACTCCCCCTTTTTGAAGCTTTAGTGGGACCGAGGATTGACTTTTTGCCTTGGGGTGATCAGCCGTCTTTGGAGTTCCCACACTCGGAGCATCCTGTTTGTGATGCCAAACTTGTCATGGAATTTTGTAAATAAAGTCTGCAACACAGAAAGAGCTGTGGTCAAGCTATTTATTACTGCGCAGAAGAGCCAACACACACATCAAACATCACAGTTCACAGTCGTGCCAGCTCTACCCTTGGGGTGTCTCAGCTCCTCTTTTATACCCCCTCCCCACACACAACTTTCTGTATCTTTTAGTTACAACAGGCTTCTGTCCCATGGGCAGTGGCTGGGCAGAGCATCTTCCACTATCTTTTCCCAGGAAGCTCCTGGCACCTGTCATCTTGGGAGTTTCGTCCTTCTACACCCTAACAGTTAGCAGATAACATAGTGAAACATCATTAGGCCTAGCTAAGCAGTTCTTTACGAGGTCATACTGACACACACTTGCTTCATCTTAAGCAGGCAAAGGTTATACAAAAATCATAAACTAATTTACTGTGTACTGTGAGGATTTAGATTTATCCTCACATAAATCTAAATGTGAGGATAAACTAGAATTTTCCATAACAGGGAGTATATATGAAACTCTTCTTTTGTTTTCTCTGTGGTTTCAGATCTTTTACCAATGATGTCTACAGGTTAAGGCAAATCTGATGGTTAGAAACTGCCAAAAGTAATGGCTGAATGATAATAGCCTTTTAGCTGCAGTAAGAATTAGATTAGATATTCTGTGTATCCAGATGTACTGGAGGCAGGAGATAGAGCTGATACTTCTGATGAAGATTTAACCCAAAGAGGAGGCTAAAACTGAAAAAGTATTGTGTGATTGTGCGATTGATGTACATATACTTTCAAATGTTGGCATCTGCCTTCCACTGAAACCAAAATTGAGTACTTTGGCATCGACTCAAACCACTGTGTTTGGAGGAAGAGAAATGCTGAGTATGACCCAAATAACACCAGTCCCACAGTCAAGTAAGAAGTGGAAACATTATGCTTTGGGGCAGTTTGTCTAAGGGTAGAGGATGACTTCACTACATTGACAGGGAAAAGGACCGGACCATGTTTCTTTTTACTATAGAAAGTAAAATGTTGGATGAGAACCTCCTTCCCTCAACCAAATCACTAAAGATGGGCCGTGTATGGCAGCGGTCCCCAACCTTTCTTGCACCACGGACCGGTTTAATGTCAGATAATATTTTCATGGACCGGCCTTTAAGGTAAAATGATACGACCAAGACAAAAACTGTGGTATTTTGTAAATATAGTAATAAACACAAATTCACTGTGTAGTTGTGTCCTCCTCACTGCCCCTTAATGCTCTCTGGTCGCTATGGTAATGTGTAAATATTTCTTTCACAATAAGACACACAACTACAACACGGGAAAAGTTAACAATAAAAACCCTGAAAACCATAAATTTGACACCCAAGCATCAACTCTCGTAGCCCGGTACCAGACCACTCACAGACCTGTACCGGTCTGTGGCCCGAGGGTTGGGGACCGCTGGTGTATGGGACTTGTGGCTATAGAAGAAGGTTGTGAAGTAAATGGCCTGCATTTGTATAGTGCTTTTCTAGTCCCTAAGGACCCCAAAGCGCTTTACACTACATTTACCCATTCACACACTGGCAAGCTACATTGTAGCCACAGCTGCCCTGGGGCGCACTGACAGAGGTGAGGCTGCCGGACACCGGCGCCAGCGGGCCCTCTGGCCACCACCAGTAGGCAAACATGGGGTTAGTATCTTGCCCAAGGATATTTGGCATGCAGCCAGGAGGCAACCTGGGATCAAACCACCGATCTTCTGGCTGACCTGCTCTGCCACCTGAGCTACAGCCACCCTGGCCTTATCAGTCTCCTGACCTCATTACTATAGCGAGCTGAAACTTGAAGTTGCCAACCAGGCAACCAAGAAACCTAAAAGACCAAAATCCCACCTGAGAGATATGAAAACCTGATAATAAGAAATTATGCCAAGAAAGTTAGTATTCTTGACCAAGTACTAAAACAAGTATTTGATCTTTTGGAGCAAAACCTAATTTCACTCAATGACATGCAAATCTGTTTATAATAACTTTTGAGGGGGTTTTAACTCTTGTTTTTTCTGGGTTGTTTTTTTGGTTGAATTCTGTCTCTATGCAATTAGAGACTATTCATTGTTTTGGAAATGAATAAACTTACAAAGTAGCTCGAATAATTATTTCTCCGACTGTATCTAAACTTTCCTTGGTCTGACAAACCTAACCAACATAATAAGACATCTTGAACAATTTTTGAGAGAAATACACCCCTTTGACAGGAGCAAACCTCTGACAGAAAAAGGGTTAGAAAGGGCTTTTGCATAAGATTCCCTCTTATAGTTAACCATTAGACAAACTAGCTAATGTAGTCAAAGGTTGTTTTGACAAATCAAATGTCATCTTTGCAGATCCTCCAACCCTTTTTGCAGCCCTGTGTTAGAACAACATCAAGGGGCAATGGAAGGACCAGAGGGCAACTATCACATTCCTTCATCCAGTCTGTGCCTGAGTCAGACTCCTGTCTGCATCACTGTAGCAAGCAGGTATTGGTCTTCACACACATGGTATATTGTTAGTTCCATAGGTAGTTGGTCAGACATAATTTTTGTAGTTTCGCCTCTATTCACCACCACAGTGAATGAAACATTCAAAAAGATAAAATTGATTGAATGCAGATTTTCAGCTGTAACTCAAGACTTTTAACAAAAATGTTTAGCAATTTTTGCCTTTAGAACAGCAGTCATTCTTCATGACATAGATTCAGCAGTGTATTGGAATCATTCCTCTGGGTTTTTGGCAAACCCAGAGGAATTGGCAAAACACCAGAAGGACAAAACATCAGCTACTGCTAGACAGAGCAGTTGCTCAAGACTTGTCTTCACCTTTGACCTTGCTTCTCCAGCTCCTCTCTCCGTCCTTAGTATTTCTCCAGCTTCTCACGTTCTTCTTCACATTGTTCTTCCTGATGTAGCTATCACTTTATTTAGCTACATCTATTATTACGGCCTTCTTCCTCTGCTTGTCCACCACTACTATGTCCAGTTGGTTTGCCTTCAACAGTTTTCTGTCTGTATGTCATTAGAGTTTAGTTGGGGTGCTGTGATTCAGTTACATTTTGTTGCTCATGCAGGTCCTTGGAAAATAGCCCTCCAGAGCTGTCCTTTGAGGAGGAGAAGCCCTGGTGCCTTGAGCCTGGTGAGTCTTTCAAGTGTTAATTAATTTACATTTTTGGCTCATATATTGTTGTTATAAGCAGGCCAGGCTACATCGTTTTTTCATGTTTTGATTAAGGGATCCGTTGAGGCAGAAATTACCTTCTGTAAAATAAAAGAGTACAAGAAAACTTTCTGGAGAAATCGTGGTGGGATTGTTGCTACTGGCAGACTAGGTCTGGGGCTATTGGTGGCACTAAAAACCTTGTTGCTACAGTTTGTTGCTGTAAAGTGAAAACAGGCATACCTAATAAAAAGGCAGACATTTTAAAAATGGCATATGTGCACCTTACCCATACTGTATATTCATAATGGGAAACTGAGAAACAAAGCAGCCCCAGACCATCACACTATGACCCCTATATTTTACTGTTGGTTGATGTTCCTTTTCTGAAATGCTGCATTACTTTTACGCCGGGACACACACCTTTGGGGGGGGCATGTTATTCTGCTGATGACAGCAGCACTAATGATCTAAGAAAACCATATATCACTTGATATGTTTTCTTGACTTTTTTTTTTTTTAACAAATACTACCATCAGATTAAATTTGAAAACGATAACTGTGGACACTAAAATGCTAACAAAAAGATAGACAGACAAACAAATAAACCAAACTGATTACATACTCCCTCCCTTTGGGGCAACAATGACCCTTTTTTTTACAATGTAAGATGGAATTTAACATAGACTGAGTGGCACACTGCTTAAACCTTGTATAGAGTACATGCATAGTTTAATGGGGAACTACAAGTACTGGAATTACCACTCATTTTTGTTTGTATCTTTCTTTGTCTCTGTCTATGTACACTACATTATCAACTGTGCCTGTTTTTGTTCTCTGCATTACCATTTTACCAGTTCTAAACCAAGCTTAGTGATGTGTGACTCATCATTCATTTCACTGGTGACTAATTTAGTTTTACAATTTAGGGAAATGTTCTAGTGCACAGGCCCAATAGCACATTTATGTAACACAAGCACCTGTGGAAATTTCTAACATGTCAGGGCCTAACATTCTTGACTCCAAAGAAAGGTAAGTAAGTAAGTAAGTAAAATTTTATTTATATAGCACATTTCTAGATAAAAGATCACAAAGTGCTTCACAAGGTATAAAACAAAAACAGTCAAAAGTTAACAAAATGCAATTTTAAAAAGATGTGTTTTTAGCTGTTTTTTAAAAGTAATCACTGAGTCTGCAGATCTTAAGTTCTGAGGAAGAGAATTCCACAGTCTGGCGGCCACAGTAGCAAAAGCTCTATCACCCTTGGTTTTCAGTCTTGTATACTGAATAACAAGTAGGCCCTGATCACAAGACCTCAGGGACCTACTAGGGGCATAGGGCTGTAAAAGTTCAATGATGTACGCTGGTGCTTGTTCTTGAAGAGCCTTAAATGTCAGAACCAGAATCTTAAAATGGACTCTGAATTCAACGGGGAGCCAGTGCAGCTGTATAAGCAACGGTGTTACATGAGAGTATTTCGATGTTTTTGTCAGAAGCCTTGCTGCAGCATTTTGGACAATCTGCAGACGCTCCAGGGAGTTTTTGTTTAGACATGTAAACAGTGAATTACAGTAGTCCAATCGTGATGAAATGAATGCATGAATAACAATCTCCAGTTCAGTATGAGATACTATGGGGCTCAATTTAGAAATGTTTCTTAAATGATAGAAGCAGGACTGAACCAGAGATTTGACGTGGACATCCAGGGTAAGAGCAGAATCAAAGGTTACCCCTAGGTTCCTGATAGACGATTTCACAAATGTTGAAAGAGGACCAAGAGCATTCATTATGTTAGGTACATGTCTGTCTGGAGCACATACAAGGACTTCAGTCTTTTTTTCATTAAGTTGGAGGAAGTTGTCAGCCATTCAACCTTTGATGGTTTCTAAGCACACATTTAGAATCTGCAGCTTAGAAACATCTTCAGGTTTAAAAGATATATATAGCTGGATGTCGTCTGTGTAGCAGTGGTAGCAAATGTCCTCAAAGGGGCTTAAAATATACTGGAGAGGAAGCAGATATATTAAAAACAATAAGGGCCCCAGCACAGAACCTTGTGGCACACCATAGGACAGGGACGTGGAAGATGACCTATACTTAGAAACCGCCACAGAAAAGTATTGTTCATAGAGATACGAGGAGAACCACTTTAAGGCAGACCCAGATATACCAACCCAGTATTTCAGCCTTTCAAGCAAAATATAATGGTCAACGGTGTCACAGGCTGACGTGAGGTCCAACATTAGGAGTACAGAACACTTTCCTGCATTGTTTTGCATCAGAATGTCATTGGAAACTCTAAGAAGAGCTGTTTCAGTAGAATGAGCTCTACGAAAGCCAGACTGAAATTTGTCAAAGATATTATGTTTGTCTAAAACTGCTGTAAGCTGCTTAGCCACAACCTTCTCTAATATCTTAGCAATTAACGGTATTTTTGAGATTGGTCTGTAATTGCTAGTGAGAGATGGGTCCAGCATAGGCTTTTTTAACAGGGGGTGTATAACAGCAGTTTTAAAATAAGCAGGGACTTTACCAGATCCCAGTGAGGTGTTAATTATGGTGAGCACACAGGGACCAATAGAGTGGAAGACATTTTTGAATAACGATGCGGGTAAAATGTCGAGTGAACAGGAGGATGCTTTTGTTGCATTAACTATTTTTTCCAGCTCTGATAGTGAGACGGGTAAAAAGCTTTCTAAAACGACAGGCCGAGCTGGCGTAGGAACTGACAATGCAGATGCTGATGGGGACAATTTTTTCCTTACATTACTAATTTTTTCTAGAAAGAAAGAAAGAAATGTTTCGCAGTCTTCATTAGAAGAAATATTGGCAGCAGGTGGAGCAGGAGTAATAATATCAGTAATAGTGTCAAATAATACCTTAGGATTACCTCTGCTCTTTGCAACCAGATGAGAAAAATAAGCAGCCCTCGCATCTCTAATTGCATTGTTAAAAGAGGCTAAAAGATCCTTTAAGTAAAGGAGATGAACATTTAAATGAGTTTTCCTCCATAAGCGCTCAGCTTTACGACAATCATGATTTATGGATCAGATGTTGTCATTTAGCCAGGGTAAGGCCTTGGAAACAGAAACTGGTCTCATTTTAACCGGACAGATTTCATCTAAAATCGAAAAACAATGGTTATTAAATAGATCTGTTAAGAAATCAACGCCATTTTGCGGGGATATTGTTAAATTAAAAGCATCCGAGAAATTCTCCGCTGTGGAGGAATTTATGATGCGCGAGATAATTGTCCGGTGAACAGGAAACAAAGGCTCATGAAAATACATGTTAAAAAGAATACAGTGATGATCAGAGATAAAAAAAAAATGTCCTCAGAACAAATAGAATCAATATTCAAACCCAAAGTAAAAACAAGGTCCAGTGTGTGTCCTTTGTTATGTGTGGGGCCGGACACATGCTGGGTAAAATGAAAAGAATCCATAATGTTGATAAAACCTCTGGCAAAGAGGTCGGAGTCATCATCAACATGTATGTTAAAATCCCCAGCTAAAAGCAGTCTGGACAACCTCATAGTAGAGGACAGGAAGTCGCTAAACTCCGATAAAAACAAGCTATTTGGGCCGGGTGGACGATACACCACAGCACAATAAAAAGGATCCTTACTTCTGATTTTAATAAGCTGTAATTCAAAGGAAAGAAAGTGTCCAACTTTCACTGAATGGCAGTTGAAACGGCCCTGAAATGCCACCGCGAGACCTCCTCCACGACCAGATCCCCGAGGCTGGCTGATGACAGAATAGCCGTTCGGGCACATTTCAATGAGAGACGAATAGTCCAAGTCCCGCTGCCAGGTCTCAGTCAGAAATAAGAAGTCCAGTTTTTTAGAAGATATAGAATCGTTAAGCACGAACGATTTATTAGTCAATGATCGGGCATTAAAAAGCGCCATGTCAGCGGGGTGGAAGCATCATTTTTGGCAGAGGCTCGAGTTAAAGGACGTAAATACTCGGGGTTTGAGCCTTCACGCTCGTAGATTCCACTCGCCGAGGGGATGAAAAGCCAGTCAGCAGGAGAGTCTGGATGAACCCTTCTGAGGCAGCACGGTCTCGGAGAGCCGGGCCCTGCATATCCAAGCAGGGACGTGGAAAACAAATTCCTCTCCATGGAGCTGTTCTGAGCATAGGTAACAAAGCACGCTCGACATCGCTTTCTAGTCAGACCCCGCCGCCAGAAAAGCCTAAGCTTCACCTGGATACCTGCTCTTCTTCCTCTCCTTCTCCGTGGTCTGCGGGGAACGCTGAGGACGCTGGCCGAGGATCTAGCCACTGGCGGAGGATCCAGCCACTGGCGGAGGATCCAGCCACTGGCAGAGGATGGAAAGTGCCAAAGGAGTGCGGGGGATGGAAAGTGCCAAAGGAGGAGGAGGATAAGACATCTTGAGCCATCATTGAAGATCGGATGGATAACAGCGTCAAACGATCATAAACCAAGGCAGCCAGTACATCATTGATACAAATAGAAAACAGCAGAGCAGAGAAAAACAGCACGACGAAAGAGCGTGACAAACTGCACCCGGCAGCGGCAAAGCCAAACACAGGCGCCATCATACCGGAAGTGTACAGCCTTTACTTGTCTCATCAGGTATGGCTTGTCTCATCATTTCTGCCAGTTTTAGGGTAATTCCAATATTTGTGTACATCTTTTTTGTGACGTCAAAATGCAAGAGAATTAACAACTCTTAATTAATATCTTTTGGATCTTTTTAGTCTGGTGGTTCTCTTTTACAGAGCTTACAGAGCTTGTAAGCAAAGCTCTGTGTTCCTTGGACATTGGATCAGGCCTTTGACATTGATGTGGTTCAGCATCTCAGCAAAAGAAATCATCCTTTTGATGTCAGTAAATTGTGAATGTCTAAACATTTCCACACCAGCTCAGTCAAATACATATAGCAGTTCAGCCCGTCCAAAAGGCGGTAACTTTTATTTGTTTAAATCTCGCAACAGCTTAGGTAAAGATAACCTTTAAAACCTTGGATAATCAATGCTTAGTATTTCAGCTTTTGATAACTCATCCTGTGTGTTCCCAAGGACTTGGAACATTGGTTTGAGACTGCTCAGTAACTTGAGCAGACTGCAGTGTTGACTAGGGCTGCAACTCGATTATAAAAAAAATCATCATAGATTTTTTGCTTTGACCAAACTTCAGTGTTCACTGTAGCCACCACATACTCCTTACAGACACACAAACTCACTCATTCACTTGCACACAGAAGGGAGATGCGTCCTGCATGACACATTGCCACGGATCTTAAAATGGCTTAAAGGCAACACAAGCCAGATGCTAGAGTTTAAAACGGACCTGTTCATTTTGTTGAGCCTTCAGTGTACGGCCATTGGCATTTTGCCAGAAGTGTTAGCAGAAAGGAGGAATAACAAAACCTTTTGACAGTGCTGGAAATCACAGTGCCTTGCCTGCTGGCCATACCAGGTTTTCTGGGTTATATAAGCCTTGGACATGTTCCCCCAGCTTCCTTGCAATGTCTTGCCAGATGGTGCTTCATTTCGAGTACATAGTACTTTATCACTCCAAGTGAAGGAAGGAGACTCCCAACCCTTCGAGTGTAGATCCAAGGGCCCATGTACATCCCAGCCATAGAGTAACTTGTAAGGGGAGAACTCCGTTAAAGGTAGGGGAACTTCTCTGTATGCAAACAGCAGGAAGGGCAGCCACGGGTTGGTTCCCTGGTCTTTTAGAAATGAGTGTAGATAACTGGCAGTGACTACAGGAGGTTTTAGTCTGACTTCCTTGGAGGACATGTTTTCTGGCATATGGAGCATGCACTTCAGGATTTCTGTATGTCTGCAAACATTAAAGACCCAGGGAAGGGTGTGTGTTAGGTACATGATAAAGGACCTAGGGACCAGGGATCTCAAGATATTGGTGGTCACAGTCAACTGCGTATAACACATGCTTATTAAAAATGAACTTTTCATTTCCCCTCTCACTTTCCATTTTCCCCTTCAGTAACCTTAGCAATCAAGTTTTTCAATGTCTCATCCGCCCTAAAACTCCATTCCTGGGATAACATCAACAGGCAGGCTCTGTACCACCAGAAAAGAAAACATGTAGGACTGTTCATTAATGGTTCAAGGTTCAAGGTTCTTTATTTGTCACATGCATAGTTATACAAGTATAACACACAGTGAAATGTAGCCTGACACGCTCCTCGACATGTGCAAAAATTGGGGGGGGGTAGAGGAAGAACATTATATATATATATATATAGTGTATATACATTGGGTGAATGTGCAGTAGTAGCAGCAAGCAGGTGAATTCTGTACATTAATATGAATAGACATCTGACTATTTTACAGGATAGACAATATAAACATATTTAAAATTAAAGGAATTGAAATGTACATTGTGCCTTGGTTTAGTGTCTGGAAGAGTCCTGTCTCAGTCAATTATAGATGATGTGAGAGGGCGGGTGTGTGTGTTTAGGGCACGGATGGCTTGGGGATAGAAGCTCCTCTTGAGTCTCTCTGTCCTTGCCCGGAAGATGCGGAACCTTCTACCAGATTGCAGAAGTTGGAACAGTTTGTTGCCAGGATGGGACGGGTCCTTCAGTATCTGCGCTGCTCTAGTCCGGCATCTCCTGGTGTAGGTGTCCTGAAGCGGGGGGAGAGCAATCCTGCAGCAGCGTTCTGCTGTACGGATCACTCTCTGGAGAGCTTTTTGGTCACTGTCACATCAGCTTTGGGGTAACGATGCTTAGTAGCATGTACACACAAAATGGTCTTATAAAGTGAGACACAGAACAGCAAGTTTAACATATTTAAAAAAAATAAAGGGTGTTTATGTACAGTGGAGGAACAGCAGACTGGGTAAAAGACATATCAGGCAGTTTGTACCATCTGTTTGTACCAGAAACAATCCCATCAAAGGCCTTGGACTGAATGGTGTCTCCAGGATTGTGGAATGGGTTACACATTATGTCATTAAACGAGTTGTGCAACTTCCTGAACATACTTCTTATTTCATTACTTGCAAGCGAGCAACAGCAAAGTCTATGCAAGTCTTCGTCAGGGTGATCCTGTTGAGACTTTTTATACATTTCACTAATCACACACTTCTGGGAAAAGATATGTGTGACTTATTGCTGTAATAACCATATCGAACGCTGCACTGAGATCTAGCAGGACAAGCACAGAGATGAGTCCACTGTCAGAGGCTATAAGAAGATCATTTGTAACGCTGTTTCTGTGCTGTGATGAGCTCTGAAACCTGACTGAAACTTTTCAAATTAAGCCATTTCTCTGCAGATGATCTGTTAGCTGTTTGACAACTACTCTTTCAAGAATTTTTGAGATGAAAGGAAGGCTGGAGATTGGCCTATAATTAGCTAAGACCCCTGGGTCAAGAGATGGCTTTTTAAGCAACAGTTTAACTACTGCCAGTTTGAAGGCCTGTGATTAGGGGTGGGTTTTAATAATCGATTCATCGATTAAAATCGATTCTGGCTTGGATAACGTGATATCGATTCATTAAAATCCTGAATTGATTTTTTTTTTATATAAATGTATTTTGCCCAAAATTCCAGAATCTCAGGTGAAACGTCACAAAGTTTTGACAACCACCAAAAATTTAAAACAGTAAATGAGAGCAGGTACACGGCTTCTGCACAAAGACGTAAACACAAAGCCCGGACCGTGGATCAGAATCAGTGAGATGTCGCCTTTCTCACCCAACGACACGGACATGGTCGGGGCTGAAAGCCGACAGCTCGCTGATTCTGATGTTTCAGCGGGCCTGCGCTTTGTGTTTACGCCCTTTTTGCGCTGATTCTAAAGCTGTTAGTTTTATCTCTCTCCAAACAATATTGACCGAACCAGCAGCAAAAGAAGATCCAAACTAAGCTTCACATAAACAT